GTTTCCCCAGATTCCCAGATATCCCAGTCTGGCTCTCATATCAGAATCATCCCTGGGCTTTGAAAGGACTGGAAGGTAGGAATGTTAAGGCAGCAGAGGGCAAAAGTTGGAAAGCTACTTTTAAAAAACAATTAGTTAAAGGCACAAAGTGGGTAACTGGTGGTACAGTTAATTACTTCAGTAAATAACAATTTACTTTTGCACAGTATTTTCTGGACAATTATATTTCTACACAGAAAACTGTTAGAAGTCCTTGTTGCCTCCTTCAAAAAGAAAAAGAGTGAAGAATTACATCCCAATGTTGTGTGTTTTGTCTTCCTTTCTTTGCAAAGAAGAGGGCTATAAATTGTTTTCAACTGAGTTTATGTGTACACTAGCTTCACATGTTGGGTCATAGGAAAGCATATAAATATTTTAATTGATAAATGAGTCTATCAACTCTCATCTTAATATCACGATTTTATGAACGATTATTTGTTTTAATTTCCACTATTTTATTCTACTGTTAAATTTTAGTATAACCCTAGTTTATTAATTCTGTATCTCCTCGTTGTTGGTTAGACTGTATGCGTTGGCAGGCTTTTATCTGTTTTTTTGGATTATTTTACTTTATAAAGCACTGTGTAAAGCCTACGGTGGTCTAAATAATAATAATAATAATAATAATAATAATAATAATAATGTCTTATTATTTACTTGGAGGAACCTCAACTAATCCAAAGCATGGGGATCCCAGGAGCCGTCTAATCCATCCACAACCAGTACAGGAATTCACTGCTAAAGCAGCCCAAAGAGAGATGCTTGTCTCATTTTTCTTTGAAATCAATCATGGGATTGCATCCTGTTTGAGACATACACAGCTGTAAGTTGTGTGATGCATGTACACCAGTTGTTTTCCACAATGCGCAATGGTCATATCCAGCTGGTGGCGGCATGAGTGGAACTGCACATTTGGGACTGTTGCATACATGGTAGTGCATTAAAGTAGCATGTGAATGTGCATCACCTCTATCCATTGCCTTAGCACACTGCACAATGGGTCATCAGCCATGAGAACTGGCCACTGAGCCACATACAAAGTACAACTTTGGTATTCACTATAAGGATTACATAACATAACTCCACCAGCAAATATTTAGGTTACATATTTTCCGTGGGTTGTCTACTAACTTGGTGAGCTTCGGCTGGTCCGGACAAAGGCCCTCTTTCCTTTCTCACTCAGTTTTGGGACTGGCCTTCGAGCAGGTCCTGGCCGTATCCCAGCATTCCACTGGATACTCTGGGTGAGGATCTTGGCGGTTCCTTTGGTCACAGGGTAGCCAGCTGGCTCATACGTGGCCCAGATTGGGCGAGATGGAACTTTTGGTTGTGAGCCAAGATCTACAGAGAGCGACATCTAGGAAGCAAAGCAGAGGAGCATGAATTGGGGATGAAGCCAAACAAAAAAAGTCCATCATGGAATAACATAGCACTGTAGTTTTCGCTTATGGCGTGATGGAATGCCCTCAAAAAGGGCATGATTTCTTTGAGGCCAGCATGGTGTAATGGCTTGAGCATTGGATGCTGGGAGTCCAGGGTTCAAATCTTGGCTTGGCCATGGAAACCCATGGGGTAACCTTGGGCAAGTCACACTCTCTCAACCTCAGAAAATGGCAATGGCAAATCCAATCTGAAGAAATTTGCTAAGAAAACCCCATGACAAGTTTTGCCTTAGGGTCGCCATAAGTTGGAAACGACTTGAAGGCATGCAACAACAAATGATGGAATGCCACTATTACTGCTCTTCCATTTCAATGACAACTGTGAAAAATCAGAGAAACGACTGGCTAGAACTGCATCTGTTGGCACTATCAGGAATATCTCTGCCAGGTGGCCTCCTTGACCTTGGGGCCCCTTCTGACTGGCTATGTTTTGCTTGCAAAAAAGAAGACTGAGGACTTGCCTACATGGGTAAATTTGGACCCCTGGGGCTCACTGCACCCTGTTTACATGATGCACGGCCAAAACCATAAATTGGGTCCAGACTTTCTTGATGATGCTCACACTGGATTTGGGAATTCCTTTCCTTAACCTGCATTTAAATGACTCACCTTTTGTTGCAGGTTTTCTTATCTCTTAGCAGCAATGATGGTGGCTGCCTTCATTCATGTACCTGGCAATTGCCTGGTGTGCCACTGTCAGTGCAAGTCGCTTTGAGGGCAGAATGAGGTTCCCAGCATTGATAGTGCAGATGGGCACCTCATTCTGACCTCAACAGTATGCCAGGCAATGAATGGGTTGCACAGGAAGGCAGTCACCCATTGTTTGCTGCGAGAATTGAAACCCTGCAACAGAAGAGAGAAGGTAAGGGACGAATCCAGGAGAAATATAGGGCCAAATTACTTCAGAAGCAGTATTCTGGCAAGCGTAGACTCACTCTGAGAGGTGACACGATAGCCATCTTTAAATATCTGAGAGATGTCATGGAGAAGATGGAGCGAGCTTGTTTTCTGCTGCTCCTGAACGTGAACTAATAGATTCAAATTACAAGAAAAGAGATTCCACCTAAACTATAGGAAGGAACCATAAGAGTTGTTTGCAGTGATATAGATTAAATTGAAGGGTGGTGGAATCTCTCTCTCTCTCTCTCTCTTTAGTTTTTTTTTTAACAGGTGTTGCATGAGCATCTTTCAGAAATGCTTTAGTTGTGTGCTGATGCATGGCAAAGGGTTGGACTGGATGCCCATGGTGCCTCCTTTTGGCTCAAGGATTCTGTGATTCTGTGTGACCCTCCAGATGCTGTTGGAGACCAGGTCCCTGCAGACCTAGCCAGCATAGTTAATGGTGGGGAATGCTTGGACACTGGGAGTTGCAGTCCAAAATTCAGAGGACTGCTAGACTCCCACTGTTGCTTTAGTCCAGGGGCAGGCAACCTTTTTGAGACCTGGACCAGTCTCCCGTAGCCCAGGTCTCGGCTGGGCCAAGGGGGGGGGGAATGGCGGCGCGCACGCACACCCTCCGCAGCTGCGCGTGAAACCCCCCCACGCACGTGGCCGCCGCCATAGCACGTGCGACTACAGCCGCCACGGCACATGTCGCGGCCGCCATTTTGGAAGTCCAACTCGCGGCTGCGACGCATTTGTGCATGTGCAAGAGTGCGAGCGCGGCCACAGAGCGGCAAAAACGCGCCCTGATGGCAGCGCGTGGCGGCAACCTTTGGCCTGGGCTGGTAAGTCCGGGGCCCGGGGCCTTAACCGGCCCCTGGGCCGTAGGTTGCCGGTCCCTGCTTTAGTCTTTTAACATTAGAGCCCTAAGGAAATTTTCTCAGATGTAAGCTCAATGGAAGTAACACTATTTCATCTCCCATTTAGAACATTATGGAGAGACAGTGTAGTCAGTTTGAGTGCTGGATTGGAATGTGAGAGACCCAGGTTCAAGTCCAGGCAAAATCACTAGCTCCCTCAGCCTAAAGAAGACCAAAGGGCTTTTGTGACAATAATTATAGAATCATAGAGTAGGAAGAGACTACAAAGCCATCCAGTCCAACCCCTGCCATGCAGGAACTCACAATCAAAGCACCCCCCAACAGATGGCCATCCAGCCTCTGTTTAAAAACCTCCAAAGGAGACTCCACCATCCTCCGAGGGAGTGTGTTCCACTATCAAACAGCTTTTAGTGTCAGAAAGGTCTTCCTAATGTTGCATCAATTGTTACTTGTCCTAGTCTCTGGAGCAGGAGAAAACAAGCTTGCTCCATCCTCAAAATGGCACCCCTTCAAATATTTAAACAGGGCTATCGTATCACCTCTTAATCATCTCTTCTCCAGGCTAAACATATCCAACTCCCTAGGTTTCTCCTCATAGAGCATGGTTTCCAGACTCTTCACCATTTTGGTCACCCTCTTCTGGACACGCTCCAGCTTCTCAACATCCTTTTTGAATTGTGGTGCCCAGAACTGGACTCAGTATTATTCCAGGTCAGACCTGACCAAAGCAGAATAGAGTTGTTAGGAGAGTGCGAGGAGGGAAAGGGGATCCATGAAAGCCACCTTGAGCTCATTGGAGAAATGCTGGCATAGAGATGTAACAAAAAATAATAGATAAAAAAAATAAGCACCAAGAAAAGGCAGAGACAATAAAGCACTTGCTCTGAACTCCACTGTGAAGCCATAAAGCCAGATGATAAAAGAATTAATTAACAATGACACCACTAGCAATAATGAAATATTAAGTTGCCTCAAGCACTCAGTAAAATGTTCCAAAAGAATGTAAAATACATAAATGATTGCCGGAGAAGCCAATGTTTACTTTTCCTGTTCCAGCTGACAAGAGTGGAAGACACATGAGTAAAACATAAAAAAGGCAGAGTGTAGTTTTATTTAGTTTTTAAGTAAGCAACTCCATGATTGGCAGGGAGATCACCTGGAAGAGGAGCAGGTGAGCATGCAAGGGCTTAAAATGTCAGGGAAGTTAATGTGAGTGCATGACAAGATGACAGGACATCATGGCGGCATGCAGAATGGCATCCCATCCGGAGCCCAATCCAACCCCCAGGAAAGGGTGCAGCACACAAAGAACTGCAGAAGGCAAACACCATCCAGCTCCATCTACCTGACTCCTACATTCCTTCATTTTCGGTATCACTGCCCCAGGCTGCTGGAGGACAAGGAAGCAAAACATTGGTAAATCACAAAGCCTGGGGCAGCAGGCTTCTTCCAAACATGACAGGTGAAGCTGCTCCCCTCTGCTGACAAGACAGACAGACCTAGCCAGAGGAGATTCCTCCTGTAGAGCTCTACCAGAGACAGGCCATGACAATTAGGGTGAATGCTGGAGAAAAAGAAGCTGGTGCCAGCTCTGCATTATCCAAGGGTTGCTGTGTTGTCCATACAGTGAAGTACAGTAACTCCCAAGATCCACAAAATAGTGAGGCTAATAGACTTTAAATTCTATTTGAAGACCCATTGCCTTCCAGAGCCTGCATGGTCAAGGAGGTATAGCCTCTGCCTACATGGATATCCTTGCAGTGTGGTGTAGTGGTTTAACTGTTGGACTACAACTCTGGAGATCAGGGTTCAATGCCCAGCTCAGCATTGAAAACCACTGGATGACCTTGGGCTACTCACAGCCTCAAGGGAAGGCAATGGCAAACTTCCTCTGAACTAATCTTGCTTAAAAAAAGCCCTATGATAGGTTCATTTAGGGTCCCCACAAGTCAAAACTGACTTTAAAACACATAACAAACAACAACTATAACAACATCTGGACAAAATGTATAACTGATTCCAATATCATCATTTTCTTTTCTTTCTCCTATTTGATTTTTAACCCCTTTTCTTGATGAAAAAGCCAGTGAAGCTTTGAAAGCTTGCATCATATATTTTGTGCATTTGGTTGGCCAATAAAGGTATCTCTGTTTCGTGGATTTTGGATGTTATTGTACTAAGGTCTGCACTGTAAGCTAGAAACCAGTTCCTAAAAAAGGATAAGGTATCCTCACAGCCTACATTGCTGGATGGCTCAAACTGGCAGCCAAACTTTAACATGGCTGCATATCATTCAAAAAGAAAACCTAACAATGGTCCTGTGTAACACAATGGTCCTTGTGCCTTGTAAGTGGTGTATGCAGGTGTAACTCCACCTTATACCTACATGTGATCATATTTTTGGTCACTGAGGAGGTTAGTATTATTTTCCATGGTTCATAATGATCAAAGCCCACCCACCCACTCCAGACCCAAAGTAGCCCTCCAACAACTACTCCATGTCTGGTGAGGGGGAAGGGGGATTGGAGAAGCGACTGGCTATGTCTCTGTAGCCAGATGCAAAATGATTACATCCTCCGCAGAGACCTGTGGAGGATCGAACCATTTCACATCTGGTTATGGGGACAGAGCCAGGTGCTTCTCCAATTCCCCTGCACTCCCCCAGGCACAGACAGGTTGTTGGGGGGGGGGGCTGTAGCAGCTAAATAGTGCATCTGGGATTGAGAGGAGACATGTAACATAGTTCTCCCTCTGAACTATAAAGCTATGTTGTACCCTATAGAAATTCAATGATGGTATGCTTCATTCTCACCCACTATTGTAGAATAACCATGCAGACTCATGGGAGCATTTGGGAAAGTTAAAATCTGGATTGCAGCTCCCAGAATCCCTGTAGACAGCATATCCATGTCAGCTGGGGAACTCTTGTAGCACCTTTGAGACTAAATTAAAGAAAGAAGTTGGCAGCATGAGCTTTCAGAGACTTCAGTCTATTTCCTCAGATGCACTGATTTTAATACCTTTGTCTGAGGTGCATCTGAGGAAGTAGACTTAAGTTTAGGAAAGCTCATGCTGCCAACTTCTTTCTTTCAGTTGGTCTCAAAGGTGCTACAAAATCTCTCTACATAGTGATTCTAAAGACTGACACACATATATCTTTGAATTCTACCAGCTGGGGGAGTGTTCTGGGAGCTGTAGTCCAAAAAGTAACTTTGCCATACCTTCTGAACCCCTACTCACTGAAAATCTTTGCTCAAGAAGAGATGAATCTGTCACCAAAGACTACCACTAAAGCTCAAAGATGAAATAGGAGCTTTGTTCCATTTGTTAGCTTTGGAGTACTGATTCAAACAGCAACAAAAGGTGGGGAGAGGGGCGGGAATAAAAGGGCTTTGAGTGTAGGGTTCACAATCCTTGCCCAGGCTTGTGTACAAACCTGAGCTTGTGGTTTAAATTTAGAAGGCCAACAGATCACACAATACTTGCCAAGGACTTTGCTTTCTGGAGTTTGTATGTTCCACTGCTTGGTCTCCTTTTTTTCTGAAAGGTGGTCTGGCTAAGGTCTGGAGTCAGTCCTCCTCCTTTCTTTCTACTGCAATAGTCAAAAGGAAAAATAATACATTTGTTTAATCTATTATTTATTTATATACCACCTTTCTGCCAGAATGGAACCTGTGTTGGCTCAGAGCTCACAGTATAACAAAATATAGCTTAAAATTACATTTATGATATGAACATTTTAAAAGAATTAACTGAGCAATCTTATTAAAAACATCATTTTAAAGTTCTTAATGAGAAAGAAAAGACAAGCTAAAAAGACAAGAGAAGCTTTTTCTTTTGGCCTGAGTTGTCAGGCAAGGGCAAGAGTGCCCTTCTCTCCTCTTCCCCTCTGCTGAGTGCAAACTATTTTTGTACTTTGAACTCAGTCTGTAGTGATGGAAGCTGAGGACAAAGGGGGAAATTGAGAGGAGGAAGAGAGAAACAGAAACATTTTAAAAACATCTGGAAAAAGTGAAATGATAGTGAAATGAGATGGTAAGGTAGAGGGCAATAGCAAAAGAGGAAAACCATATTAGAGGTGGATAGACTCAATGAAGGAACCATGGTGCTGAGTTTGCAAGACCTGTGCAGCGCTGTTGATAACAGGGTGACCTGGAGGTCTCTTATTCATAGGATCACCATAAGTTGAAGGTGATTTGAAAACAATCCAAACTTAGGAGTTTATCACATGGGGGAAAACCCATGCGGAAACAGGGCTTTAAATTAAACAAAACCCGCAAAAGCGGGTGTTTTTTCAGACGATGTCGCTGTTAAAAGGAAGTTAATCCGAACGGAAATTAGACAAAAACTGCTTCTTTTTACTTTCGGAAGATCCCGAAAGTAAAAAGAAGCAGGTTTTGTCTAATTTCCATTCGGATTAACCTCCTTTTAACTGCGCTGGAGTTTATCACACAGGGAAATCCCGTTGATAAATTGCTTTCGCTATTGCGTTGTTTTTTTTTTCCAATTTAAAGCAGCGTTTCTGCACAGGGCTCCCCGTATGATAAACTCCTTAGTCAAAACTTTTGAGGGGTGCAACAAGAAACAAGAGGCCCCACACATTTTCAAATTGTTTCAGAATCCAGCTCAGAAGGTCCAAGAACCACAAAGGGACAGAACTTGTTGAGGTTACTAACTTGAAGCTTCAGGTCTCAATGTTATAAAAATAAAGCAAAGTAGTAGACTTTGGCAGTTCTTCTCTTTGGATGAATGATGCAGTGCTGTTATCACCTGCCCCTGAGGACAGGGCTACCATCATACACAGTAACAGCTATTTAATTTTGTTTTACAAAAAAAAGAAGATAGTAATTAGGGTGTGCCTTACGCTTGTTTTGCTTGCTCAATGGGATCAAAGTTATCCAAGTAATTGAATCTGATGGTGTCTGTCGGATGCTTATCTGAGGAACGCCATGGAGGGAGCTCTTTCTTCTCCTTGTTTATCTTCTTTCCTAAGAGAGAGGCTGACTGGAGAACTGACAACAGGGAGGATTTGACATCTTGGGTCTCTTTTCGTATCGGTTGCACATCAGCCACCACAAAGTCCTCTTTAGGTGGGATCTGAAGTAGTGGGGAAAAGATACATGAGCATTTTTTTGCTATTAGTTGTTAGCTTTTCTATAAATGCTTCCACAGTGCTGGGAAACTATGGGGAGCTGGCTGCCCTTGTACTAGTTGACCCATAATCATGGGCTCTTTGCTACAAAATAATCATCAAATCTAGAATCATAGAGTTGGAAGAGACTACAAGGGCCATTCAGTCCAACCCCCTGCCATGCAGGAACTCAAAATCAAAGCATCCCTGACAGATGGCCATCCAGCCTCTGTTTAAAGACCTCCAAAGAAGGAGACTTCACCACACTCCAAGTGTATTCCACTGTCGATCAGCTCTCACTGTCAAGAAGTTCTTCCTAATGTTGAGGTGGAATCTCTTTTCCTGTAGCTTGCATCCATTGCTCCTAATCCTATTTTCTGCAGCAGCAGGAAAAAATGCTTGCTCCCTCTTCAATATGACATCCCCTCAAATATTTAAACAGGGCTATCATATCCCCTCTTAACCATCTCTTCTCCAGGCTAAACATACCCAGTTCCTTCTAGATAATATATTTCTATTGATGCAGCCTAAAATTGCATTGGCCTTTTTAGCT